AGGTAAATTAACCCACATAATAGGGTTGTTCTGCCAAAATAGCCCAGTAGGGACAAGAGCCATATTGAATATAATTAAACATTAAGGGTTGGGTATAATCCAAGTAAGAGACAAATTGAGCTGCAATAGCATCTTCTATCTTTTGTAATGTGGTCAGTGCTTCTGGAGAGAGAGATCTGGAAGATTTAGGGTCAGGGTTTCCTTTTAAAACATCAAATAAGGGCCTTAGGTCTCCAGTAGTAAGTTTTAAATATGGACAGAGCCAATTTATATCACCTAAAAGTATTTGAAAATCATTAAGGGTTTGTAATTGATCTGTGCGGATGGAAGACTTTTGGTTAGTAATGTTGTGTCCCGTCATATGAAGCCCCAAAAAGGTATAGGGGTCATGAAACTGTATCTTTTCTGTAGCTATTTGTAAACCTGATAAAACTAACTGCTTTTCAAGCTGGATAAAACATTGTAAAACCCTGTCTTTTGAATTGCCAGCAAGTAAAATGTCATCCATATAGTGTATAGTGTACATATCTTTCCACAGATCTCTGATTGGTTGGATGACTGCAGCCACAAATTTTTGGCATCAGGTAGGACTATTGGCCATTCCCTGGGGCAGGACCCACCATTCGTATCATTTCATGGGTTCCTTAAAATTTATGGAGGGGACTAAAAGCAAAACGTTCTTGGTCACTAGCATGTAGGGGAATTGTGCAAAAGCAATCTTTGAGATCTACAACAATTTTAAAAGAGCCTGAAGGAATTGCCACTGGGGATGGCAAAGCCAGGTTGTAAAGTGCCCATAACCACCATTGTGGCATTAACAGTTCTTAGGTCCTGAAGCAGTCTCCATTTTGCAGATTTTTTTCTAATAACAAATATAGGAGTATTCCAGGGGGAGTTACTCTCAACAATGTGTCCTGCCAGTAACTGTTCCTGTACTAACTGTTGGGTGACACATAATTTTTCTGAGGTTAATGGCCACTGATCAGCCCAAATGGGCTCGCTTGACTTCCAAGTTATGGGGTCGGCATGCCTTTGGGGTACAGGCTTGTCAATGGCTGAAATCAAAAATTTCCAAAGCCCTGTTTATTAAGTTGGCCTGTTGCCTGAATGGGTTGTAAAATACCTTGTTCCTGTTTTCCTAAACCTTTGCCTGGACTATAGCCTTGAGCCAGTGTCTGTGCTGTAACTATTTCATTAGGGCTGCACATTATTATTTTCATTTGTGAGAGCAGATCCCTGCCCCAAAGATTGACAGGCAAGTAAGGGATGACATACGGCTGAATAAGACCTGAATTATTTTCCTTATCTGTCCATGTAAGAAATTTAGAACTCTGTTTAGGATTGCGGCTTTGTCCAATTCCCTTTAGATTGGTTAAGGTATCACAAAGGGGCCAGGTGGCGGGCCAGTCCTCTTGTCTAATGATAGTAACATCAGCCCCAGTATCTATTAGGCCAGTGAATTGTTTACCATCCAACCATAAGGTAAGAGAGGGTTTTTGACGGGAAATCTGTTGGACCCAGTAAGCATCTGAGGATCCAAAATTGTCTGCACCTCTCACAATATTATGGGCTTTATTATTTGTTTTAACTAGGGGAAGTAGGATAAGCTGAGCTGCTCTTTCTCCTTGTGGAATCGTGACAATGTCAGCAGTTGCTTTGGCCAGAAGCTTAATTTCTCCAGTAAAATCATGATCAATTACTCTAGGAAAAATTTGTAGCCCTTTGAATATTGAACAGCCGCGACCTCGAACAAGTCCAAAAGTACCAGGGGGCTATGGACCAAAGACCCCTGTATTTAAAATTTGAGGTCCCATTTCAGACGTTAATACTGTGCAGGGGGTGGAACAGAGGTCCAGCCCTGCGCTCCCTGGGGTTGCTCTAGTGAGGTTTGAAACGGATTGTCGTTGTTGGCTGGGACAAACTTGACAGCCCCACTTTGGTTCGGGGCCTGGGGCTGGCCCCTTTTCCCGTTTCCCTGAGGGGGCAGTAAGGGATTTCCCTGAGCCTCAGTTTTGGATCTACATTCATTTGCCCAATGTTTTCCTCTTTTACATCATGGCCTTGGTGATGTAAAGTCCAGGAGGCTTGCTGACTACGGCTTTTGTCTGGTATTCCTGACAGTTTTAGCAAAATGACCAGGCTTGCCACATTTAAAACAACCTTTATTATTTTGGCCATTATTACCTAAAAAATCCTTTACTGTTTGTCCACTGAGGGCTGCGGCCATGGCTAGACCTTGTTGATAAGAGGAGCCAATGTCCGAGCAAAGACGAATATATCTTTGGAGGTCAGTTTTATTTTTGCGGGGCCTAATGGCTGCCTGACATGCAGGATTAGCATTTTCAAAAGCCAATTGTTTTATATAATCAAGATTGGCATCCGCATTGCCTAACAACCTATCCGCTGTTGTCATTAGTCGGTTAACCAAGTCCGAAAAAGGCTCTTCAGGCCCTTGTTTTACTCCTGTAAGTG